ACCTTCATGGAACATTCCTAGACCTTGGCATTGCTGGCTGGATTTTGACTGTTCGGTGTTTTTCTGTTAGAGGAAGAGGTTATACTCTCTATTAACTGGTTCTTTCTGGTGTGTCTCAGGGAGGGCAACGAGCCAGAGGAGACTACTCAGATCACATACCGTGAGCTTCTGGTCAAAGTGTGTCAGTTCAGCAATGTTCTCCGAAAACAGGGTGAGTGTGGGGAGTATGGGAAGGGGACTGTGGGGCTTAGGCTTGTGGTATCTGGGTACTGAGGGAACGTGGACAAGGAATGGAAAGAATGTGCTAATAGACCAGAGAAGGTTAGCTGGCAAGGGCCAGCTGCAAGACAGAGTAGTGAGTAGGAGCTCTCTCCAGGTCCATGGTTCATAGTGTTTGTCCTTTACCTACAGGTATTCGGAAAGGTGACCGAGTAGCCATCTACATGCCCATGATCCCGGAGCTGGTGGTAGCCATGCTGTCCTGTGCCCGCCTTGGGGCTCTGCACTCCATTGTGGTAGGAGTTTGGGCTGGTAAAAAGGGCAGGGGTGGGAGATGGTACTCTGGAGATGTAGGCTGAGCCAGGATGCTAGAACATTTTAAATACACACTAAGGAGTTCAAAATGTTTGTTCCACAGGCCCATATCAGTTACCCAGTTTCTTCTAGAACCCTAGGTTAGAGACCTGAAAGTTCCATCGATCTGTAGAGGTTACTTTCTTCCCTTCCATAGTTTGCAGGCTTCTCTGCAGAATCTCTATGTGAACGGATCCTGGATTCCAGTTGCAGCCTTCTTATCACTACAGGTGACTAATTCTATCACCCCTTCTCTAGGGTCCCCCAGCCTAAACCCATCCCCTTCCCCAAGCCAGGTTTTAATCTTCAGTCAGCCCATGGGTATTTGGATAGCTTGGCAGAGAGGGTAGAGTTGGCCTGCCTTTCTTCTTGTCATACTTCAGATGACCCCGTCAGTTTAAATTGGCTGGAAGAGCCAGAATTAAGAGACCCACTCAGAAAGGGTTCCATGGACATTGTGCCTACTAGGGTTAAGGCTTAAAGGTGTGTTGCCCTCCTAAGGCATGTAATGTGTATTGTTCCCTGAAGATGCCTTCTACAGGGGAGAAAAGCTTGTGAACCTTAAAATGCTGGCTGACGAGGCCCTGGAGAAGTGTCGAGAGAAGTAAGTCTGGCCAGATGGCTACTGTTCTGGGTTAACTAAGCCTTTTCCAAGTGCCAGGTTCTGGGCTTCAGACTCCCTTTATTCTCCCTACTCTAGATGGACATGGGCAGGTTCTGTCTCCTGATGTTTTGAGTAAACCAGCCAACCACTTCAAGCTTTTCTTTCCTTCAGGGGTTTTCCAGTAAGACGCTGCATTGTGGTCAAGCACCTAGGACGGGCAGAGCTGGGCATGGGTGACTCCCCCAGCCAGTCCCCCCCAGTTAAGAGGTCATGTCCAGATGTACAGGTGAGTCTAGTACTTCTCTACATTCCTCTGGGCTCAAATTGGCTCTTTCTTCCTGTCTTGGAAGTTCTCAATACCTTCCCTTACTTCTTCATTATAAGCTGAGCATCTGGGAGTAATCTTAGGAATGCCTCTTCTGGAATAGCTGCCTGGGAGCTGGGGGACTTTAACTGTGGCTGTGGGAAGGGAGCCCCTTGGGCCTCAGGGGGACTTAGCATGAGAGATTGTATGGGAGACCCTGTGCTGGTTGGGATCTCTTGGTGGGCTATAGGGGATTCTCCAGGCTTAGGTATGAGTTTGAAATGCGGTGACTTGAACAACTGTAATGTAGTGATTGTGATTGCACTGGGCTGTGGCTTGGGGTTAGACCAGTGGTTCTCAACCTGTGGGTCATGACCCCTGTGGGGGTTGAACTACCCTTTCACAGGGTCGACCGATTAATAACAGTAGCAAAATTACAGTTATGAAGTAGCAACAAAAATAATTTTATGACTGGGGGTCACCACTCATGAGGAACTGTATTAAAGGGTTGCAGCATTAGGGAGGTTAAGAACCACTGGGTTAGACACTTGTTGATTAGGGAGTACACATCATTGGAGGCACCAGATCTGGGCCTTAACCTACAGCTTGAGATATAGTGCTTCTAATGGGAACAATAGAAATACTCAATAGTGGTTTTCATATCTGGGTGGCATGAGGGATGAAAGTTCCAGGACCCAGAAGGACAGAAATTTCCTGAGATTCTATGACTTGAAGGGCCTTGAGTGGTCTTGGGGATAGAGAAGGTTGTGTTCTATTATTCGACAGTTAGCTCTTCAGTAATAGGGGTTCTGAGCATATAGGGTTGGGATTAGGATCAGAAAAATGAAGGCTGGGAGGGAGGACTAGTGAGATGCAGCTTGAGTGTAGGCAGCAGGAATTTGGGGCGCACTGATCTTCCCTCCCACTCCACTGTAGTCAGGCCTTGCTCACCAGCCTTTCCATGGGCTCTTAACAGGGCAAGCTGAAAGAGAAATCCAAGCGCATCCAGCCCCAGGTATCCATCTCTGTATTGCCTTGGGTCCTGCTTCCTTGCGTGCTTGTCTGTGTGTCCATCTGCTCTTTGCCTGTTTACTTCATTGAGGTGGCTGCCAGACCCGACTCCCTTTCTCCTGCCTCTGGGCCCCTTGCCATCCAAGCCAAACTTAAAGTTGTGAGATCAGATGCCCTTGTTCCTCTCTGAAAGGGCATGGAGCATGGATGTTAGAGAAGTAGTAACAGACACTCCTGCTTTCTGAGTCAGAATTGCCTCTGAGGCAGTGAGTTTAGTGTTTGTTTTCCTTAGGACCTTTACTTGGAAGAGGGGACAAGGTGGAGAAAGCGTTTACTGTGTACTTAGCTGGGGCAGACAGGAGGAAGAGCACAGATCCTAATCTAGTTTATATACTACTTTGGGATAACAAAAATCACACTGTAGATGGTTCTTAGAAAGAAGGTTCTTTAAGTGAGGATCAAAGCAGATTCGGATAGAGGAGACGTCCAAAACCGTGGACACCGATTTTCAATTGTGTGTTCTTTCCTCTTCAGGTTTCAGTTTCCTTTTCAGTAATGGAGGGATGGTGATACATGCTTAAAAAGAAATGGCTTCCCTCACTAAAGCAAAACATAAAATCCACTGTTTCTCTGAGTTTCCATCCTTATAAGATGTATCATTCGAAATCTGCTGTTGGCACTGCTTAGGTCAATGGTAGAATAAGCCCTTGTCTCTATTCTTATTAGCATGGTGAAGACAGAGCTGATTTATAGGGACACTGCTTCCCCTTTAAAACTTAGACAAGGACCTAAGCCTTTACTTTTCAAACTTAGTGGTTTAGTGTACAGGTTCTAGAGTCAGGTTACTTGGGTTCAAATCCTGGCTCTCACCTGCTACTGTATGAGTTTGGACAAATTACTTCACTTCTCTTGCATCCATTTCCTTATTTGTAAAATAAATACAATAATCGTACCTACCTTATAGAACGTTATCAATGTATGTAAAGTGCTTGGCATTTCTTAACATGATAGTGTACTCAATAAATATTAGCTATCATTGTTTCCATTTAAGATAGCAGACAGGCTGGCATTTCTCAAAAAGAGACCTGAAAAGAATGAACAAATTCTTGAATTTTAGACCATAAAGTCTTCTTGGATTTTTTTCTCCAAAACATTTTATTGGGACACCATCCAGACATCATGCCACTCAGTAGTTCAGTCATATTTACTTTTTGTTTTATTTTGTTTTGAGGTGAAAACAATCAGTCACCAAAATTCAAAGACATAAAAATAGGCTTACTTAAAGTTCAGGTTTGTTGTCTGAGAGCTGCAGTTAAAACTGCCAACTCTTGGCAGAATCCCAAACACCCTTATCCTTAAGTAATCCTCAAGAGAGGGCCTGGCAGTTTGAAAGTGCCCTCTTCAACAATATTACCTATGACCTCCCTCGTGTTACTTTCCCACACCTGGCAGCTGTGACTCTATCCAAGTCCAAAGACAAAGGTCAACTCTTCAACCTTCATTTTAGAAGATTCAAACTTTTTCTTGATTCAAAGCTCTGGGACCTAATGGGCACATACTGAATTCACAGTCAATGTTAGCTCCACTGATTAAGCTTATCCTGCTTCCTGGTGCTGGTGATCAGCTCTACACCTGGAGCACCCAGCCTCCTCCTTACACACCCATCCATGAGGGAAACAGTTTTATAAAAGTTCTCTCATTCCAAGGCTGCAGCGTAGCTATCCCTTACCCTTACATATAGTGAGTGCCTTTCCTCTGAGAAGTCACACCAGTCTTGTAGACTAGCAACATTCGTTTAAAACACCTAAACTACATTAATAACTCATCGCATGCAGATCATTTGGTAGGAAAAAATGTGCCCAATGTATGTTTAGATCCGCATGGCTCTTCCACTGAAAGGTAAAATGTATTCTTGTGCTTTCCAGCTGGTGGGCAGCTTCTCTCTTTCTTCTTGTTATGTTTAGTGGTAACCTTAAGATGCTCATAGATCAGAAAGTTAGATTTTCTATAGTAACGGGCAGATAGTATAAAAAGAGGAGTGTGATTAGACACTTATTTTATAATCTATTAAAGTGTGTCTTACACTTTTAAAATCAAATATGCACCCAAGCATATATCCTTACTATATATTCATAACGTAAGAGAAAGGTGCTTTTCCTACACTGCCATCTCTCCCTACCAGCCATGTAGGGAATATACTGAATACACAAGAAGCCAATGGGGATGAAAAGGTTTTGTGAGGGCTGAAACAAACTTCAAATAGTTCCCATCATTATCTCCCAGAGATGCCCAGTGAACATTGAACTAAAAACCTCTGTCCCTTCTGGCATTCACCATTTCTCCTCCATCTCCCCTGGGGCAATCCAAGGCTTGATGTTTAGGAGTTAGTACCTTCCTCTTTATGTTCCCCAAATCCTGTGAGACCAGTAGGGCAAAAATGATTATTCTCATTTTAAACTGGAGTGACTTGAGAAAAAGTGACTTGCCTAATGTCCTCTATACTAGTAAGTAGCAGAACTGGGAGGGAAAAACTCAGGGAATCCAGCTTCATGACCAGAGAGCAAACTCAGAAAATACTGGTTGTTTAAAAATGTGATGTAGTGAAGAAAGGAAAAGACTTTCAAGGAGAGTCCAGAAAAATTCTAGGCACTTGGGTATAGAGGACATTCCTCTACTGGAAGTAGTCTACCTTGACCCTCTGTCGACAACTTGAAGCCGGGCTTCCTGCTGAATGGAACCTGCACCCTTAAGCAAATTCTCTTTGAGAAAACCCATTGCTATTAGTGCTGAACTAAAGGAAGTACCTCTAGATGTGGGGGAAGGCTGGACATGAAGGAAGAGACGCTTGGACCAAGAGCAGTTGACATTTTACTACCAACTAACAGCATCGGGTGCCTGCCTCACCTGCAGGCTCTGACTAATCGTGCATTTCTGATTACATAGTATCTGCATCCCTGCTAATGAGCCAATAGCCCCATAAGTTCATATGTGTGTGTGTGCAGGCCTGTGTGCGCATAGTCATTTATCAATTTATCAGAAAAAGACTGTATTAAGTGAATTTTGATGCCAGATATTTTGCTAGGTATTGGGGAACTAGAATTTTTTTTTTTTTAATGCAGACAGCCATGTCACAACCCTCATAGACATCACTACCTAGTTGGAGATACAGTAACCAAATAAACAACTAATAAAACAATTGGAAATATGTGCTGTGTGGGAAAGAAATATGGTGCTGCGATCAAGAATAGCAGCAGGGGTGGGAGTAGGGTGTGGGACTCTATAAGATACTGATCAGGGAAAACCTCCCAAAGAAAATGACATTTAAGCAGAGAATTGAAGGATAAGAAGGGATCATCCAAGTGACTTTCTTCAACCTGAGGTCAGGTAAGGGGAGTTCTGAAGGAGTTGGGGGACGGATGCCAGGGTGCTGGGAGTGCCCAGGAACCTGCTGTTCTGCCCCAGTTTTCTTTGCCTTATTCCACCCACATGACTTTCTCTCCCTTCCCGTCCCACAGCTACTAGTCCCACCTTAGTCTTTCCAGATGCCAGGGAGGGCTGTCTCTTGCCCCAGCCTTGCCCTCTTCACAGTTACTCTTTGCCTGTTCCTGTCTTCTCCTGCTACAGATCTCCTGGAACCAGGGGGTTGACTTGTGGTGGCATGAGCTTGTACAAGAAGCAGGAGATGAGTGTGAGCCCGAGTGGTGTGATGCTGAGGACCCACTCTTCATCCTGTACACCAGTGGCTCTACCGGCAAACCCAAGGCAAGTGTATATGTGTGTGTGTATACTATTTAGGGGCGAGACGTTTCTGAGAAATGTGTAATGACATTAATTTTACTCTGTAGCCTTAAGTCTCAGAAATGTTACATTATTTTTTCTAAACCAAATTAAGACACAAAATCCTCAATTACTAGGTAGTCGGAAATTCAATATTTTCATGTACCCCTCACACCAGGATAAGACCGTTTGGGTAGGCACTTTCCTGGTGCCTGGAAAAGAATGAGTCCATGGGGTTGACTTGGATGTTATTTCCCATGCTCACATGCTTTGGGTGAAGGAGAGTTTCCCTGTCAACTCAAGGCTAATGGTGGGCAGAGGGATCCTAGGACCACTTCTGGGAGCTCAGTCTTTTCCACATGCCACACAATTAGCATATAATCTGATCTTCCCAGGGCACAATGTGGGAGCTGGGCATAGGCCTCCACCAAGTGTTTCCACCCCGAAACACTTGAGCAAACTCTGACTCTTCATTTACGGTACTTGAAAGCTGTGTCACTCTACCTTCCACCCACCTATTCCTACATTCATTTCTCTGTATGCTCTAAGCTATGCTTCCAGGGGCTTGTAGGAACATAATTTTGGCCTCTCCTTCTTAGGGTTAATATAGGGATGAAGCAAGCAAAGAAGATGGTCTTTTTTTCCCTCACCGACTTACTACTCTGCCAATGTACAATGAATGTATATGTGCAAATACATAACAAGACGTGATTAGATTTGTGTCAGAAGTGTCTCCATATGAGAATGATATGGGTGCTTCAGAAAAACCATCTGAAGGTATGGATGTGATAATGTGTGCAAGAGAGATGGGATGAGGACAGGTTGAAGAGCATTGGATGCTGTGAAAGGGGTGCTGGTAGGACCAGAGTTCCCCAGGAGGGTCTTCTGCCTGCTCCCCTAAGTCTTCATTTGATGATCACTGGGGGTGTGCACAAAGCCCAACACTAAGGTTGTCTTCATCTACAGGGTGTAGTACACACAACTGGGGGCTACATGCTCTACGTGGCTACAACCTTCAAGTATGTATTTGACTTTCACTCGGAGGACGTGTTCTGGTGCACAGCAGATATTGGCTGGATCACAGGCCATTCCTACATCACTTATGGACCACTGGCTAATGGTGCCACCAGTGTTTTGGTAAGAAGGGAGCAGAGCCCCATGGAGACTTGTCTTGAGTTGGGGTGGACAAGATGATCCTGGGTAACTACCCAGGATAGTTGATCCAGAGCCAGGAGGACTTACACAACGACATATTTCCTGGACTCTGGAGAAAGAGGAGTCCTGAGGGGATTGTGTACACTGACTAGGAAGGTCTCTTAGCTTATCTAGGGAGTGAAGAAACTGGGGTTGGTCAGAAAGGACAAAATACTGAGCCTGAGGGTATGGTCAGGGAGGGATGGTGGGTTATTGGTAAAGATCAGGAATGACCAGCTTTTCATTTGGGTCAGTTTGAGGGGATCCCCACATACCCGGATGTGGGCCGCCTATGGAACATCGTGGATAAATACAAAGTGACCAAGTTCTACACGGCACCCACAGCCATCCGCCTGCTCATGAAGTTTGGAGATGAACCTGTCACCAAGTGAGAACCCACCCCTCTCCAGATGCTGCCTCATGGGTGTCCCTCAGTAATGGTGCTGACTTTCTGCCTAGTCTATTCCATTTTACTGTCCCAACACCCTGACCTAGAGTCAGGGTGGGAGCAAGAGAAGCGCCTGAGCATGTTGTCTTGGATCCCAGAGGTAATCAGAGCCTTCCTCTCTGCCCATTCCCCATTGCCCTGCCTAAGGCACAGTCGGGCATCCTTACAGGTACTAGGCACAGTGGGTGAGCCAATCAACCCTGAGGCATGGCTGTGGTACCACCGGGTAGTAGGTTCCGAGCGCTGCTCCATCGTGGACACTTTCTGGCAGACAGAGACAGTAAGTGAGGGGTCAGAGGGCTGGAACACCGGGACAGGGTTGTGGACTAGCTTAAACTCCTAATCTATGTCTTCCACAGGGTGGCCATATGCTGACCCCCCTCCCTGGTGCCACACCCATGAAGCCTGGTTCTGCTGTGAGTGAGGCTAATGTGGCTGGTTCTGGAATATGTAGAGGGTGGGGACAGGACCATTATGGAGAAAATTGGAGTATCAGAGCTTCTTGGGAGAGGTAGGAAGTTGAGTCAGATACCTCATTCCTCTTCTTGAGCCCTGCCTTCTATTTGCTTCTAGACCTTCCCGTTCTTTGGCGTAGCTCCTGCAATCCTGAATGAGTCTGGGGAAGAGCTGGAGGGTGAAGCTGAAGGTTATCTGGTGAGGCCTTCATCCGGGGGGTGGGGGGACGTTGAGTGGGGAGAAGGATACACAAAAGGGTACTGCATGTTGCTTCAAAGTTTGGAATATAATTTCCCCTGGCAGTTGCTTGGGGCTGAGGCTCCATAGTTGGGGGTCTGCCAACTATCCCCAGGGGTGATCTTTCTAGATACTTTGCCTACATCTCTGCCCTTTGGAGCATGAGCCTCCCAAGGACCCTTTTAGAGTCTTCTTCAAGACTCCAAGACAGTTTTTTAGGTCTGGAAGAATTAGTCCCAGCTCTTCCTTTGACAAGCATTCTAGACTGAAAAGAGGCTTCAGAGTGGAAAACTCACATAGACTCTGGAATCCTGGGTTCAAATCCTGGCTCTGTCTCTTCTGTGATCTCAGAAAAATTACCTAACCCTTCTGAACCTACATTTGCTTAATTGTAAAATAGGGCTAGCGTAGTACCCTTGTCTGCCACTACTGGGTTGATTACATTATATAATCCATATGAAGGGTTTAGTATAAAACCTCACAGTTAGTGCTTGATAAATGTTAGCTATTGTTGCTTTTGTACTTATAGGGACCTCAGAAGCCAACGCCCATTCTCCATACCCACTTCACTTTCCCAAGAGTAAAATGGTACCAGGGACAGAACCTGAATCCAGGCCTTCTGATTCTTAGCCTAGAGTTCTGTCTGTCTCACCAATCTGCTGCTCCAGAATGCTATCCACTGGGGCAGTAATGATTTGCTCACATGTATGCAGTAATGACTTCTCATTCATGCATCAAACTCAACTTGCTTTCTGGAGCGATTACTCAACTACACTATATGCTTAATCAGTAACCACATTGCGAGTTCATTTCCATAGATTATTTCATCCCTAGGAAGGTAGACTATTTTCTCTGATTTACAGATGAGCATCCTGAAGGTCAGAGAGGTGAAGTCACTTACCTGAGGTCACACAGGTAATAAGTGGCAGAGTTGGGGTTCTGAGCCAGGATTGTCACTCTCCAAAGCCTGTACTTTCTGGCACTCAGAATATTCCCCCGCGGGTTTGGCACAGCTATGATTGTCTTCTGGTGAGACCGTGTAGCAGATGTGACCACTAAGTCTTCTTCACTCCCCAGGTGTTCAAGCAGCCCTGGCCAGGTATCATGCGCACTGTCTATGGGAATCATGGACGCTTTGAGACCACCTACTTCAAGAAGTTCCCTGGGTACTACGTGACAGGAGATGGTGAGCCCTAGAAATACCCCTTCACCACCTCCCATTGAGACATGTCCCTTCCCCTTCCAGTCTCAGAAAGGGGCGAATTGGGAGGGGTGGGGGAAGAAGAACAGAGAGAGGAACATGTCACACATATCCAGAGAGCTTCAGAAGAGAATGTGAAACTGGAAGAGCCTCAGGATAGCACCACCTGACACCTACGTGTGAGGAAAGAGGTTCTACTTTCCTCTGCTCCTGTGTTTAAAGAGATGGTCCTATGCCAGTGTGTACTGTGAGAGGTGTGCTTCTATGTTAGGAGCCTGGGAACATGGACAATTAACTCATCCATAGGTATTTATTGACCATATCTACTATGTTCAGGCACTATTACTAGGAATAAGATAGTGACAGGCCCTGCTCTTATAGAACTTACATTCTAATGAGGAGACATAGTGACAAGGGGGTGGGTGGGAAGGAATCCAGAAAAAAACAGCTAATATTAGGTAGTGATAAGTACTATGCAAAGAAAGCAAATAAGGAAATGTAATAAATAGTGTGTGTAGGGCTGGAGTGATCAGAGAACATTTCTTGAAGTGACATTTGAGCTGAGACCTGAATGGCGAGAAAGAACCAGACATGGGAAAATCTGAAGCAAGAATGTTCTGGGCTGAGGGACAGAAACACATGGGAATTATCTGAAGTATAAAATGAAGCTGGCTTGGCTAGAATGTAGTGAGCAAATGGAAGAATAGTATAGGGTGTTGGAGAGGTAGATTATATAGCGCCTTGGGGACCATGATGAAGGTTGGAGTTTTTTTTTTCTTTTTTATCATTTTATTAGGGGCTCATACAACTCTTATCACAATCCATACACACATCAATTGTGTAAAGCGCATTTGTACATTCATTGCCCAGGTTGGAGATTATTAAAAGTACAGTGGGGATTAGGAAGGACCTGGGGGAGGAAGGGGTGGGGGAAAGGAGTGGTGAGCAAACAATGCCATAGGGAGGGGAATAACGAGGGAATTAAAAGCAACAACGAGGAGGACCTAGACATTCCGGTGTGTTGGAGTAACAGCAACCTAGCTGAGAGGCAGCAGAAGGGGCAGAAGAAGGGCAAGCATGATGGTGGGACAGGGGGAAGGTAAAAGGAAACAGAAGAAAGCTCTAAGAAGCACATTTATGGATAGAGGTATTAACATAGGTGTGGACTTATGTAAATATATGAATCCATTAAAACAGAGGTATTGGCCTATGTACAGATATATTTCATCATTTTATTGGGGGATTATACAGCTCTTATCACAATACATACATCCATCCATTTATGTCAAGCACATTTTGTACATATATTTATATGGCAATACACTGAGGAAGTGGAAGGACTTTGGGCCTTTGCTCAAGCCCTCCCTCAATGCAAGAACATTTTGTTCTAACAACCTGGCAATCTGTGATGCTCACCTGACACGATCGCTGAAGACAGAATGGGTGCATAAGCAAATGTGAAGAAAACTAATGGTGCCTGGCTATCAAAAGATATTGTGGCCAGGGTCTTAAAGGCTTGAAGATAAACAAGTGGCCATCTAGCAGAGAAGCAACAGGCCCACATGAAAGAAGCACACCAGCCTGTGCGATCATGAGGTGTTGACAGGATCAGGAAATAGGTACCAGAAGACACAAAAAAACAAAAAAACAAACATATTGTTAGAATGAGGGGAGTAAGAACAAAGACCCAAAAGACATCTGTAGACAATAGGATATCCCCTCACAGAAGGGTCACAAGGAAGGGATGAATCAATCAGGGCACAGTATAGCACTGATGAAGCACACAATATTCCTCTGGTTCCAAGGCTACCTCACCCCCCACTATCATGACGCCAGTTCTGCCTTTCAGTTCTGGCTAGGCTGGAACATTTACACTGGTGCAGATAAGAGCTCATAACACACGGAATCCAGGCTAGATAAACCCCTCAGGTACAGAAATGGGAGTAGTGATACCAGGGTATGGGAAAGAGGGGAGAAAGGGGGAGCCATTGCAATGATAGATGCATAATTCCCCCCACCCCCAGGGGGATGAGCAACAGAAATGTGGGTGAAGGCAGACAGCAGTCAGTGTAAGACATGAAAAAATTAATAATTTATAACGTGTCATGAGGGTGGGCGTGGGGGTGGAGGGAGGGAAAAGTGGACCTGATACTAAGGGCGCAAATAGGAAATAAATGTTTAGGAGTTGGGGTGGGGTGGGAAGTAAGAAAATAAATGTTTATAAAATGATGATGGCAACATTTGTACAAATATGCTTGATACAATTGATGTATGGAATATTATAAGAGTTGTAAGTGCCCCCAATAAAATGATTTTTTTAAAAAGACAATGGGGAAAACCTTTAGTGGTTTTAAGCATAGAAATACTAAGAACTGATTTACTTTTTGAAAAATAACTTAGTTTGACCTATGGAAAACAGATGTTAGGCAGATGTATTAATTATCTATTGCCATGGAACTAATTACCCCCAAAAATGGTAGGTTAACACAACAAATGTATTCTCTTATTTCTAAAGCTCACGAATATGAGTAGCTGACGGCACTGGGTGGTTCTTGCTTAGGATCTCTCATGGAACCATCAAGCTGTTGCTTGGGGCTGCAGTTATCTGATGGTTTGACTGAGGAGAGGGAGGTCCCAATTGCAAGGTTACCCACATGGTTGTTGACAGGAGCTCTCTGATCCTTGCCACATGGGTTACTCACATAGTGGCTGGGTCCTCCAGATAATGACCTGAGAGTGCACAATCAAGGCAGAAGCTGCAGACACACCATCACTTCTGCCATATTGTTGGTCACACAGACCAATCCTAGGAAGGTAAGAAAGGGCACTATGCCATGGTATGAATACCAGGAGGCAGAAATCACTGAGGCCATCTTGGGTGCTGATTACCACAGTGGGAAAGAGTGGACGTATGATCTTACCTCTGCTTCCCAGGCTGCCGGAGGGACCAGGATGGCTATTACTGGATCACTGGCAGGATTGACGACATGCTCAATGTATCTGGTGAGGACCAAGGACCACTTTCCCATCTTGTGAGCCCTGCCTTCCTGGCTACTCCCAGCCAGAGCCTTCTGAGTGCAGCAGTCCTGTCCTTTGTCCAGACCATCCGCTTACTGCCATCAAGTCGTGTCTATTCCAACTCACAGTCACCCCACAGGACACAGTAGAATGGACTCCAGGGTTTTTAAGACTAAATCTTTATGAGAGTAGAAAGCTTTCTCCCGTGAAGCAGCTTGTGGTTTCAAACTGCTGACTTTGCAACCCAAAGCATAACCCACTGGTCCACCAGGGCTCCTCCGATCATGCCTGGAGTTCAGCATTCAATCATGACCCAGGCTTTGGAGGACTGGAACACTAGGATGTGCCCAGAGGGGGGTAGGGGGAAGGGGACCAGATTGGTGGGGTAACTGGAAACCTGAGAGGAATGAATGAAGGGCCATTTCCATTTGACCAGACTAGACCTGCCTAGGGGCACCGGTGGAGCAGAGGCGGGGCTCTCTCTCATGGCACTTCCTTTCCCTTGACAAGGGCACCTACTGAGCACAGCAGAAGTGGAGTCAGCGCTCGTGGAGCATGAGGCTGTTGCGGAGGCGGCTGTGGTCGGACATCCTCATCCTGTGAAGGGCGAATGCTTATACTGCTTTGTCACCCTGTGTGATGGCCACACCTTCAGCCCCACCCTTAAGGAGGAGCTCAAGAAGCAGAGTGAGCAGGGCCTGTGGGATCTGTCCTGGGAGCTCAGTTAGCACAGCAAGATATTGGGAGGCTGGGGGAGGAGCGAGCTGCTTGGCAAACCACAGACAGATCCAGGGGCCGGGTGCCCTCTGCTCCATTCCACTGGCCTCTCCCCAATAATAGCTCACATTTCTAGAACACTTTCTCTGGGTCACCGCTGGGCTAAGCGCTTTAAATATCTTATCCCGCTGAATTCCCACAATCACCCCCAGGAAATAGATCATTCGATGAAGAAACAGGCTCAGAGAAGTTATATTCCCTGCTAATCACTGCTAGTGATTACTGCTGGTAACTCTAGTGGGCTGACTCAAGCGGCTGAGTTAGATTAAGGTACTCTGAGTACAGACACCTGTTAAAGAGAGCCAGGCAGTGAGCCAGAGGAAGACTCTGTGGGTAGGGCCTAGAAGCGACAGTAGGAAGCAAAGCCATCTATCTCTACCTTGGCTCATGGAGGCCTGCCTCCAGATGCTAAAGAAATGCTTGATGTTGCTGCTTACAGTTAGAGAAAAGATTGGCCCCATTGCCACACCGGATTACATCCAGAATGCACCTGGCCTGCCTAAAACTCGCTCAGGTATGCTCAGATACGTCCCCCTCCCCACCCCAAGAGTGGCTGAGGCCTGGGTGGTGGTGTGCGTATGCATGGGAAAACTATTGCAGGGTTGAGGGTGGTGGGGTGGTGGTGCTGTCACCAGGTAACCAGATGGCTGTGGTTCCCCCAGGGAAAATCATGAGGCGGGTGCTTCGGAAGATCGCTCAGAATGACCATGACCTGGGGGACACATCTACTGTGGCGGACCCATCTGTCATCAGCCACCTCTTCAGCCACCGATGCCTGGTCACCCAGTGAACAAGACCCTAACCTTGATCCAGGATTACCCCTGCTTGGCTCTCAAAAATGTGCCCATTCTCCCTGCCCCACCCAGGAGCACTGAGTGCTTGTGCTCACCCACACCACTTCTCTCAATCTGCTGTTTGGGACCGAGGACCAGCTTCGCCCTAGGTGGAGACAACTTCCTGTGACTGTCAGGCAGACTTGTGACAGGGCCCAGGTCAGCCTTACATTGCTGTAACCCCAGATTGCAGAGAACTCTTGGAGCCCAGAACAGGGATCTATCTGACGGTGATGTCCCCAACTCATGTTACAAGCTCGGAGGGGAGTAAAGGCCTAGAGTGAACGAAGCAGGGAGACAGTTCTGTAATCCTGTGTCAGCTCTCAGGAATGCCCTTGCATGCCCTTGGGCATGCACTTGCACTTAGAGATGCCTATTTGTGAGTCCTGGGACAATTTTTAAAAAGCGCTTTGCTGGTTCTGCTCTGGGCTTAAATTTTCTTTTGTGCCAGATGACAGTGGTTCCCCCCTTCACTCCCGGGGCTGGGAGGGTATGCTCAGTCTCTGAAGGGTTTTCAGATAGTCTGCTTCATGAAGAGAGGAGACATTGTTCTAGGACCAGAGGAGCTTGGCTCTCTTGTCCTCTGTGCACGCCTCCCCCCAGAGTCCTGCCCGTGAGACCCTTGCAGATGAAACTCTTTCCCTGCCTCAGTTGTACTCAGGCCCACTGGTTGGAGGAATAAAGTCTGTGACCTCAGGAAGAGAGTGGTTGTTTTCCTGGGCATCTGATATAGGACTGCACAGATACGGGGTTTTTTGTTGTTGTTGTTGATTAACCATCTTTTTTTTTAACATTATATTAGGGGCTCATACAACTGTTATCCCAATCCATACACACATCCATTGTGTAAAG